TCATAGTGTCCGTACCTAATTTGAAAGACTATTTTGAGAATGTATTCTATCCTAATCTTTACCTGATGGTAACCTAAACGCAGATCTATTTTGGAGAAGACCTGGGTACCCTGTAATTGATCGAAAAGGTCATCGATCTTGGAGAATGGCTACTTGTTCTTAATCTTGACCCTATTCAGTTTTCTGTAGTCAATACATAACTTTAACGTCCCATCCCATTTCCTTACAAATGTGACTCTGGTACTTCAAGGGGACACACTATGTCGGATGAATCCACTATCCTGCAATTCATTGATTTATTTCCTCAACTCCTCAATCTTAACACGACTAATGTGGTGAGGGGCAACCGAAATAGGTTGGGTTCCTGGTTGTAGATCTATGGTGAATTCAACTTCTTTGTCCACTGACAGTCCAGATAGTTCATCCAGAAATATATCCAGGAAGTCTCGGACTACTGAAATCTCTTGAATATAAGAGTTTGCCTAGTTAGAGAAAACAGTCGGGTTAAAGCACTTGATAATAGGAAAATTTGCCATGAGGAAACAAATGTTAAACAATTTTATTAATTTATAAATGACTCCTCATTAGGAGGGTTGAATACAAGTTTCTTATGAAAATAATCTATGGTGGCGTGATACGTCGCTAACTAGTTCTTTCCCAGGATTACATCAAAGTCCCACATGTCAATCTCTAGTAGGTCCACAATTAATTTTCTATCTGCTATATCTATGCCACAGACTCTGTATATAACCTCCACCCAATTGTCATACTCCTAGGAGTAGACACCAACAACACATAATCAAGTCTTATAGGTAATACATTCAAGTTTGATGCAAAGGCATGTGAAACAAATGAATGTGAGGCACCAGTATCAATCAAAATATGTGCAAGATGATTACAGATAGTGTACATAGCTTGTATCACGTCTGGGTTGGCCTTTGCATCCTGCTGAGTTAGATTGTAAGTCTTGCCTTAGATAGGTAGTCTGGTCTGGTTCTGATTCCTCGGGCACTCCCTCGCATAATATTGGACACTCCCATATATGCGGCAGGTATTGTTGAGGCGATAGCAGAGTCAATCTTCATAATCCTTGCCACAGTGTTAGCAAGTTCTACCGCGTTCTGTTGTTGAAATCTAAGGAGGAGCCTAAGTAATCAGTCTAGGTCTCTTGTTTTATTGAACAGGTATAGTAGGCGCCGATCTGCAGTGTGAAGTCGAGGGTCTGAGGTTCCTTACTACTGGAGAAAAATGCAAAGGTTCATCTCTATTAGCTGCATTTTGGGTAAAACAACTGAGTAAGTACTGAGCTCGAACACATACAGCTACTGTTTGATCTCAGGACAGAGACCCCACTCGAACTTTCTTACCTTTTTATCTTCATACATCATGCTCTCAGGGGAATACTGGCCCAAATCTAAGAACTTTCGGGCATATTCTGATACAGTCATGTCACTCTGAACTAGTGTGCAAACTTCATTTCCTTCAGATATCAGAGATGCTCTGGGAGTACTCTACTCTGCATAAAGCCACTAGATGTCCCAGTGACTGAAATGGG